GGGGGGGAAGAGGGGGACGACTCCGGCCCTGAGCGCTGTCCCCGCATACAGCGCCCTCCCTGCTGCGCCGCCCTCCCCGGTGCCAGCGGGACGAAAGGCCTCATCTCCTGCACGGCGCGAAGGGGCGGTGAAGCCTGGGCACGCCAGCAGCTTAAAGGCAACTGAAGCCCAGGGGAGCTTTTGCAGGCGAGAAGGGCCCCCGGGGGCTGCGTCAGGCCACCACAGGGCTCAGGAGCTGGGTGCTCCATGAACACGAGGCGGTCACAAATCACAGGTTCCCATTGCCCAGTGTCAGGGGGCAGAGAGGATGCTAAGAGAGAGAGTGAATAGGGTACCAGCAAGGGTTTTTTCCACTGTTCCCCTGTCCTTGCCCCACCTGCCTTGGACTGCCAGCCTCTGAGTGAGCTTGGGTGCTGAGACCAGTGGTCCCATCTATCAAGTGAAGTCAGTCCCGAGGCTGAACTGAGCATCAGGGCACCTTTGATGTAGCAGTAGCTATATGCTCACCTTGCTGAGCCCAGCAGTGACACCCTCAAGCCCACCATGCTGCTCCATGCAGGCTGTCTCCTAACTAGAAAGTAACATGGCCAAGGTCACATGCTGTTTGGGGCAGGAGAGTTCATACTGCTGAATGACAGCGCCCGCAGCCCACTCCCCTGGCAACTAGATTGCCCACCATATCATACGGATGTAGCTACTCTACTTCTGGCTTTAGAGGGCAGCATGCTTGAAAGAGCTGCTGCCAGACAGGTAGGCATACCCCACAGACTTGGCTGATGCAGCAGCAGCACCTCAAAGTTAATCAGCACTATTAGCATTTACCTGGCTTCTTCGGAAAGTTTTGCAACCTAACTTCATACTGCTCCTGCAGCATATTACCAGTACCCAAGCTAGCTAGTTAGAGCTGCCTCAGATGTCTATACCACACTGCAGTCACATCCATGACTGCAGTGCAGACATACCCTAAAATATAACAAGCCAGAGCAACAGATGAACAGGAAGGAGAAGGAAAATATGAGAAAACAATGTGGTTACAGATTATCTAGCTGTACACATAGCTGCTAAAATAATATCATGCGATACTATGTATAATACAAAACATAAGCATCCAAGTTCCTACTATGCATCATGTAATAGCAATTCAGGGCACACAGGTACACTAGTGTTTGCAGTTGAATCTTCTCAGGTAGATTAATATACATATTATTTCAGTTTACTAGAAATAAAAGACTGCATTTGATCAGCACCCTCTAGGTGTAAGGAAATGTTTGGGTTGCAAGGACTGCGCTTGGGCACTACTGCTTTAGTATTTGCACTAAATACAGTATTATGCAACATACATGCCTTTGGATATTTGTTTTCTGTTTAAATTTAAAACTAACCTAGGAAATCAACAGTGCAGTGCAGAACTGCTCTCTGCAGCTCAGGACTAGCTCTTAGTCTATGGTCAGAATGCAAAAAGTGCTCATTGAAGTGATCAAATGTTTCCACTTCCACTGAAAAACATACTGATTTACAAACTGTGTTAACAGTCTCCAATGCAACAGGAGTCATGTTAGGATATTAGCCCAGAGCTAGAAACCATTAACCATTTGAGTGAATGTTCTCTGCTCTGCAATCATGCTGTGATAAAAACTACAGCAGTTACTACCTTCGTGTAGAAAATACCCATCTATGTAATGGCAAGTTTTTACCACACATTGTTTAGAATTTCTTCAAACTGATTAAAGCAGTTGTGAAGCTGCAGAGATCTGAAACTGATGTGCACCTATATACCTGCAAAAGGAAACAGGTATCTGTGTGTTAAATAACAATAAAAAATATGATGATGATGATGATGAAATGGCTCCAGAAAGAAATCAATAGTTGTCACTATCATTAAATAGCTTAAATTCCATCAGCAGCTATGAAACATTTTTATATCTGCCCAAAAAATAAATAAAAAAAAATCCACCCAACAGTATTAGAAGAATTGGCTGGGGAGCTCTCTAAACTGATAAAACTTGACCTTTTCTGCTTCTCAGAAGCAGCCAGCCACACTACATAGCTTTCAGGGTCCTTGCTTGGCTGGCTTCTCAGGATCTACAGGTGTGCTATTAGCTGCCTGGTTATTTGCTCTCCAGGCTATCCAGCATCTGGCTCCCAGTTTTCCCAGGCAACTGGCTATCTGGTTAAACCAGGCCCTGAGCTACCACTCTGGTGAGTTGTTAGGCTACCTGGTTCCCACAGTTACTGGCTAGCCCAGAGTATTCAAAGACCCCTCCCATGGAAGAGTTTGCATTTTCAAACCTTTTGTTCAGATTTGGAACAACAAAAAATGGAAATGTGAAGCTTTCCTTGTGAAGAAACTTCTGGTACCAACAGAGCTGTAGAAATTAAATACTGGAACAACCGGTTTCGGATTGCGATGCCTTCTCCTTCACTTGGAAACTTTACAAAAATAAATCTTTTAAAATGCTATAGTTCAAACAGACATTTGGCCTTGATGCAGAAATTGCTGAACGATGTTCTCTGCTTATAGCTGGACAGACTGGATAATCCTAAACATGGTTAATCTATGCTCAGTTTTATAGCTATGTACCACCCACATAGCAGAACCTATAAAACAGTCTGTTGCATGATACCGGTTACAGTGAACTGGAAATCTGTCTCCACAGAATCGTGCAGCATTAGGTCTTGCATTCCCCCCCAGTTGTCAGGGCCACCTATTCATATCTTCATTAGAGAGCCAACTGACAATGTACTAGCAGTCAAGTTAGCAGATCTTACTTACCTGGATTGTAAGAATTACAAGTTTGGAAGCACTGAGCAGTTAGACACCACTTCCCTTGAGTGAATGCTGCTTACGGGCAGTCGGCTATTTCAAGAAGCCACATAAATCCAACCTTCCCAACAGCTTTCTCTTGCATGGTGAGGTGTCTCAAGAGAAGATGGTCTGAGAATTTTAAAGCCTTTTGCTGCTGCATTTTCTATATCTGAATATGGCAATTTCCTTTGGCATCCCAGTATTCCTTAGGGACGTATTAGCAATGAAAACTTTTCTCCACTGAAGTTGGTGGCTTAAACTTAACTGATTTCAGTGCAGTCTGGGACTTCACCTCAGGTACACATGGGGTTGGGGTTGTCCCACAGGTCTGGTATTGTAACTGTTTCATAACAAGAAGGAGGAAAGTAAAGGACAGTTGATTATCTGGAAATATTTATTTGAATAACCTTTTTTAGAAAAAGACAATGTTTCCTGCATCACTACTTCTCTAACAGTACTTGCGCTAGCTGGAAAAATGAGGCAACTGACATCAAACATCTTTCTGAAGTCAAGAAGAAAAGCAAATGCCATAAAATTTGATTAGCTCCTTGTCATTACAGGTTGTCACCTCCCTGAGGAGCAACTAAATCCCAGTGTTCCCTGTTGCTAAATGTATAATTTTATCTTTCAGTTGCCTTTAGCTGATACTTACCTGTTTCAGAAGTTTAAAGCACAATCAAATTAAATAGTCAACTTATAGAAAACCATGAGCCTTATATGCAGTATAAGGAATTTCATATTGTTTTCTAGGCATTGGTACTTTCAGAAAACAATATTATTTATTAATGTTTAACATCAGAAACATTAATAAATATCTCTTACAAGGCCTATCTTGAGTTCATTTTGTTGTTTCTTTGAAAAAAATTCTAGCTCCAGTTTTATATCATGTATTTAAATAAATCATATAGTCCTCACCAACAGTTTGCCTTATAGATTCAAATGATGAGTTAAGATAATTTGCTTCCTTCAGTTACAATTGATCAGAGATTAAAAAGAACCAGTATGACCACTTAGTATTTATCTTTCATGTGTTCAAAGATCTTTGTAAGTGTGAATTAATCTACCCATGGACTTAGCTTTTCAACTAAATGTACGAAAACATTTTAAGTTACCGGAGCACTAGTTCATATTACTTTTTGCTTTGCAAATTCTAACTGGCTCTGTTTTGAAGTGAAAACTCCAGGTCCTAGTATGTTACTGTTATTCATATAAATGCATCTATTGAAAACTCTATAATTATTCACATAAGTAAAATCTGTAGCACTGGATCTTAATGTCCCTGAACTTATTGTATGCAAGAAAATATCAGGTTTCCATGTGATGACTGATTTCCCTAAGAACAACTTATTTCCATTATTGCCTCTGCATTTGAAAAAAAAAAATGGATTAGAAAACAAAATTTCCCTTGCTCCAAATTACCAGAAGAAATCAGGAGAAGATAGATTTTCACCTGGTAGCAATTTCACAAAAAATATGGCATCATGTTTTAATGGAAATCTTTTCCCATACTCAACCCTACTGCCCTGGAAAACTTGGATTTTATATATGAAGCTTTGCAGCACCAATAAAAATAACTGGCCAAACTTACCTACACCCACAGGACTTTGAACTTATTTGGGAACTTTTCCAGGTATACCATCAAGAGCAACAAGGTGATGCATTTGTTGCATAATCGTTATGAGAAACACCCTCATTAAGTGTCTGATCTAACTCCCAATTAAAGCTAACTAATAGGTCCTCAGTGATTCAAAATGGAGCTGTGCTAATTTA